CTAATCACTGGACAGATAAACTGATCAATGGAATGCTTGATTTAATGCAAGGATGATCCAATAGACAGTAGAAATCACTGCTTGATGCGCTAACTGGACACTTCTACAGAGCTCTTCGAATAGACTCAAGAACAAAGGTACCAATCATCTAGCTGATGAACAACTCATAAGCTTAAATACTTCTGCAATTAAAATCTTTATAACAAGAATGAAAGAGGTAAAACTGAAGATAAAACTAGAAGAAATACGAAAAGCATGCGAACTTGCCATACAAAGAGCAACCATCAAAGGTGCTAGTGGAAAAGACAATGTGGATATACTAAAGCGTATATTTGACAGGAATATAGAAATTGAAGGCCCGTGCACTGATAAAGAAAGAGAAGGCATTGAAAACACAATTAAAAACAATGCATGTCTATACTTTACATACAATACATATGGAACAAGAATTATGGATTATGTAAGTAGTGCATTAGAGTCCAAAGATGAATTATCAATTAGATATTGGTATATCTCTTTGTTTAATGAAATTATAAAGCCAAACTTACTTATATACAGTCCAGAGCACGGAATACACATACAGGTTGACAAGAGCAGAGCGTTAGATAATATAGGCATAGCTAGTAGTAATCCTGATCTAAGCACTCGAGAATACACTCTGCAGCTTGATGATGCAAAGCTTCTGAGCTTAGAAAGCACACTTCACGTTACTGACAAAAGCCTGGAAAGAGAGTCTCTCCTATACATTGCTGAGTCAATAGCCTCAATGAAACTGGATGTTTTAAAAAAATATTCATCAGAAAAAGCACAGTACTCTGTCAATAGACTATACACTAAAAAATACGAAAATACTTCTGTGCCATTGGTAGACTACGGACTGAATCTTATCCACGAAAAGTATCATGAGGTCAAAGAGTTAGTTGAGGAAATTAAAGGCTTAGAATATGACGATGGTATATTACTAGTAGATACAAAACTTGAAAAAATATTTACTAAAGAAGAAGATGTTGAATTAGTCCTTTCCGTCATTAGCAATATAGAAAGAATAAAAAATGAAAAGACTACGCAAAAAGGTATAATTGACACAGTAGAATACATGGCAAACAACACAGAGCTCTTGAAAGAGAGAGAAAACGAACCGAATACTCTGAAGATAAACACAGACCTGAGCAATTTTAAAGAAGACTATATAGTAAAGACGGGCTTAAAAAACATAGTGTTTGAAAAAAAAGATAAAATATCTAAAGAAATAGAAGGAAAAAAAGAAAATCTAGAAGTAAGGAAAAAAAACATGAACAAGCAATAAGAGAGGGAAAGAGCAAAGAAGAGGTCGAAATTTTAGCTCTTTCTGTTAACGAGCTAGCAAATGAAATATATGCACTAGACTGTAATTCCAAGAAAGAAAATTCACAATTTCTTAATATTATTAACAATCTAGAGCATCTATCCGATATAAGTCCAGACCAGAAAAAGCACATAGTCAAAAAGATAGAGGAGTTTGCAGAAGGACAAGGCATGGGAGTAGAAAAGATAGAGGTAGAAATGCCCGAAGAGATGGAAGTAGATGAGCTATCAGATGACAAAGTATCGCATGAAAAAATAGACTTTTCCACAACAAAAACAGCACAAGAAGACATAGCTGAAAATACTACACAAACTATGAAAAAAGTCACGCTGAAGATAAACTTGGAAGGAATTTTAGATGCCTGCCAATCCAGTAAAATTATAAATATTGCAGAAACACCTATTGAATTCTCTCCTGACTTAAACTATTTAAACATACTGGAGAACATACTTGATAGAAACATAGAAATAGAAAGTGCACAGTATAGTGGTGAAGAGAAAAATGCACTTGTAAACATAATTAAGAATAACAGCAAAAGCCATTTTGTATTAAGGGATAGAAACGAAATTGAGATTATAAATGATTTACTAAAATCAATAAAATCAAGAAACGAAGAAAAAATTAAGTATTCTGCTGTCCGTCTACTTAATGATATTATAGTGCCAAATCTGTTTGTATACAATCCAGAACAAGGAATAAATATGCAGATAGACATGAAAAAAGCACCAGAGCGCTTAATCCCAACTGCTAGCAATACTGGCTTAGGCTCTCGAGAATACACGCTAGAGATTGATGACACAAAGTTCACCAACTTAGAAAGCTTGTATTGGTCTTCCTCTGTGAATCTAAGTAGAGAGTTTTTCTCTCGGACACTTAACTTACACTGTTTAGTAGATATGAATGTTTTAAGGAAATACTCATCAGAGAAAAAATACTACACTCTAGACGAGCTGTACAACACTAAACATAAAAAAACTAATTTGCCATTAGCAGACTATGGACTAAATCTTATTTTCGAAAAAATTAATGAAATTAGAGCTTTAGTTAAAGAAATCAAAGCAGCAGAGGCCGCCTCTGACAAAAATGCTCTGAATGAAATTAAAGAGAAAATCAGAAAATCATTCAGCCCTGGTGACTTGGGAATAGCTGTTTCTGTTTACAACAATATTGGATACATTATCCACGAGAAAAAAATACATATGCACATAGTTGAATCGTTGCAATACATAGCGAATAGGGACAAGGCCTTGAAGGAAAAGAATGGACCAAAGACATGGAGGATAAAAACAGACCTGAGTAATTTTTATAAGAACTATGTAGCTAATATCGATTTAAAGAAAATAATAAAGGATAGAATAACCGATTTAGCCAAAGAAAATGATATAAATTGTAGTTCTCGCACCCAAAAAAAGAAAGAATGTAAGGAAAAAGAGGAAAAATTAGAAGAATGGAAGAGGACAAATAAAACAGGCTCAAAAAGCTACGCTCGAATAGAAAGCAAAAAGATGCAAGAGATAGAAAGCCTAAAATATGACATTAACCGTTTAAGAAATGATATAAATCTGCTAGAGTGGAAAACAAAAAAAGAAAAATTACGGCTCAAGAATATTCGTGACATTCAGGACGATTTTAGATGCGTGTCCAAATTAACTTCAGGCCAGAAAAACCATTTGGTCAAAGAGATAGAAGAGCTGGGAGAAATGCATAGCGTAAAAGTAAAAAAGGTCCAAGTGCCAGAAAAAGTTACTGCCCCACACATAAAAGAAGTCAAATTAGTAATAGACCTAGAGGGAATATTAAAAGATTACAATACCATTGGCAGTAAATATAACATGGAAGAACTTCTTAGATCCTATGATTTGTCCCATATCACTATACTAAGGCATGTACTTGATAAAAACATAAGAATAGAAAGCGAGCTGTATAGCGATGAAGAGAAAAAATTCTTGGAAAATGCAATTAAGAAACGTATGTATGAATACTTTATGTACATTGATGAGACAAATGAAAATGGGACTATGTTTGATTTGAAAAAGAGGTTAAGATACAGCAGAAATAATCCAAATTATAACAATACTCCTACTCGTCTGCTTGATGATCTTATGGAACCAAATATATTTATATACAATGCAGAACATGGGATAAATATGCAGTATGACATGGATAAAGCATTAGAGAGCCTAGGGATAGGTGATGTGAACCAGAACTTGGATACTCGAGAGTACACACTGGAGATTGATGACACAAAGTTTACGAACTTAGAAAGCTTGTACTGGTCTGCCTCCATGAGTCTGAGCAGAGAGTTTTTCTGTGTTTCACATAATTTACGTGATTTAGTAGATATGAATATTTTAACAAAATACTCTTCAGAGGAAAAACACTATGCTCTAGAAGAGCTATACAACACTAAATATAAAAAAACTAATGTGTCGTTAGCAGACTATGGGCTAAGTCTTATTTTCGAAAAATTGAGTGAAATTAGAGCTTTAGACAGAAAAATCAAAGCAGCAGAGGCCGCCTCAGACAGTGTTGCTCTGAATGAAATTAAAAAGGAAATCAGTGCTTTGTTCAGCTCTGGTGACTTAGGAATAGCTGTTTCTGTTTACAACAATATTGGATACATTACGTGTGAGAAAGAAATCCACAATTCCTCTATTAAAACATTGGAGTACATAGTAAATAGCGATAAAGTCCTAGAAAAAAAGGACGGACAAAAGATACTGAAGCTAAACACAGACTTAAGCACTTTCTATAAGGATCACATAACTAGCACAGGCTTGGAGAAAATAGTAAATGATACGATATATGAAATAATTAGAGAAAGAGAAGAAAATTCTAGTTCTTGTGCTCAAAAAAAGAAAGAATGCAAGGAAAAAGAGGCAAAATTGGAAGAATGGAAGAGGACAACTAAATCAGATTCGCAGGACTACGATCAAATAGAAGATGAAAAGATAGAAGAGATAGAAAGCCTAAAATGTGATATTAACCGTTTAAACAATGAAAATATATTGTTAACACGGAAATTAAGAAAAGAAAGAATACAACTCAAGAATATTATTAAGGTTAAAAATAGTTTTGAACACTTATCTCTAATAAGCTCAGACCAGAAAAAATACTTGATCGAAAAAATGAAAGAGCTGCTAGAAGCACATGGTGTAAAAATAGTCGTAGATGGAGTAGAAACAGAGCTAAGCAGGCTAAAAATATCTGAGCAATCAGAGGTAAACGATGCGCTTAAAGAGCACCAAGAATTAGAAATGGAGGTAGACGAAGCCCCTGAAGAGAGAGGACTTCTCCTATCAAAGAAAAACCAATCAAAGCTCTTTAAGATAATCTCATTTGGCATTTGTTTAGTGGGCATGTCGAAGCTTGTGTCTGTTTTCTCAAACTACAAAACAAAGAATGCCTCTGACAGTGAAAATGACGAGCAACCTCCAATTAAGAGATTTAGAAGATACGAGCCAGGCAATACTAACTAGTTGGCAACTACAATAAATTATCTCAAGATTATAATCACTTCTTCTGCCACATCTACAGATATCCTCGGGTTATATACTCAAATGTATAGTCCAGCTTGGCTATCTCTTCCATTTTACCTACACCACCACTACATCCACTGTTGGTTTTTCCTTTGAATAACACACCAAGAGTTAATAATAATAAATAAATAAATAAAAGTAAAAAACGAAAGTAAAGTTCTACCTATTCGCATACACTTGCTTTTATTTTATTTTTTATTTTGTTCCAAATAGCAGTCCTTCACACTAAAAATAGACACTAAAATATATGCGAATAAATAGACACTAAAATATATGCGAATAAACAGATGCATGTAGCACCAATCACGCAACTTCATTCTTCTGAGAAATTAAAGAGTTAAACCAGACTAATAAACTGCTAACCTATTAGCTGCTCTGATCCTTCACTCGACCATTAAACCAATAGAAAGCCAATAATACACGCTAATTCAATCAAACTCTATTTATTCACCAAAAGCCCTCTCTATCTGTTGTACCATGTAATTAAGACGTCAAGAATTTCGTTGTGCGCTCCTAGATGGGACTTGCTCTCGTTCACGTTCCGAAACGCTATGAGCTCTGTCTCCTCGTTTGGCCTTTCAGACATTGCATCGCGCAGTTTTTTGCGTCCAAACTTTAGATTTGTCTTGGCATTGCTCTTTGCATTGCTCGCTGCAATCTTCTCTGTTTTTATCTTGGGCGTTTCTTCTAGGTCTCTCAGCGCATCCAGCCTTCTGTCTTCTCTCCTGTACCTCGCTTCTTCTTTTCTTATCCTCTCCATGATTATCTCCTTGTCCATAACACTGCTCTTCTGCTTACCCTTCTGGCTTTTCACAAACCAAGTGTGTATCTTTTCTACCGGGCTTTTCAGTCCACTTTTTCCCACATTTCTGTTCTTCAGCCAAACGCACTGCAGATCGCTGTCCTTGCTGTACTCTCTTGACTCTAGTGCGTCAACAAAAATTTTAAGCTTTCCCGTCTTTCCTCTTTCTCTGAAAGACCTGTCAGGCAGACAGTGCATGTACGCATTTTCATTATTCATCGCGTTCACGTACCACACAACCTCAGCTCTATTACCTGTCTCCGGAGATGCTCTGCACTCCATGATGTAGCAGTCAAGGGTTTCATCCTTTTCATCATCTGGCACTATGCACAGATCGCTGTAATACTTCTGCACATACGAGTACAGGCTCCCTTTGTAGTCGATGTTGTACTCGTACACACTGGCCGTTACATCCTTGAACTCTATTGAGTCTACCTCTTTGTGCTCGCCCTCCTTATTAAAAGGCCCGAGATCCACAGCCGAGCGCATCAGAGGCGCAAGGAACAGAGGAATGTCAATGCTATTTTCATCATGGGGATACAGCGGCCTGATCTCTGCAAACGTAAACTTTGCTTTTTCTGGATCTTCTTCGATGTGATAGAACACTACCTCGTGCCCCACAAACTCTTTCACCGTCTGCTCTCTTTCTTCCTTTTCCTTAATGTACGACCATTTTTTGCTCTGTTTATTTACCCTGAAAGGGTGTATGACATTGGAGCTGTCTTCCACCCCATACAGCGTCTTTACGTACTTTACTATCTCATCAATTGTGTGTATGTAGAGTTTTTCGCCACTGCTAGATACATAAATAGGCATGCACAGTCTTCTGCACCGGTGCCATGTGTTGTCCACGTAGTACACATGGTAGTGCTCTTTAACATCAGATGACACGCCCCACTTGTATATCTCCAGGGAGTGTGCATGTCTGCACTCCTGTATAGAAGACTTGTCTGCTGCCAGCACAAGATTTGCTGTGCATTTAATGTACTTTTGGTGCTTTACAACACACTTCCCCGCCAATATATACTCATTTTCATCGAAAAGTTTTACTCTCTCGTAGAACTCTGCAAGAACAATGTACACTTTCTTGTACATCTCGGAAATCGCAAGCTCTTCTTCTGGTTTCTTCTCGTATATGCTCTCAAGAGTGCTGTGGATGCTTTTGTATATGCTCTCTACTTTTTTACTGTCCTCCATAGCCTCCTCCTTTGCCAGTGTGCGTATGGCCAGCAGGATCTTGTGGCACTGCCCGTTTCTAAACGGTATTTCAGAGATTCTCGTACCCTTTATAAATGCAGTGCTAATGCTGGAAAAGTCTTGCTGGACTTCGGGCAGTGCGAGGATCATGTGCACCGCATAGGCCAGTGCAGAGTACTTCTCATCTATCTCGCTGATTCTGTTCTGGTCTATCACCGTGTAGTAGTTGAGATCGAGGCTCTTTCTGATGTAGATGTCTCCCAAGGTCTCCTTCCACACAGTGGGAGGGAATTCCTTGCTGGCTCTCAGCGGCTTGTGCTTTTCTATGTACGCCAGCATGTCCTCAAACACTCCAGGATAGTACCCCTCAAGAGCCACCAGCATCTTCTTATACTTGCTCTCTTCTCCATCTTTGAGCACCTCCCTCAGCCCGAAAATATCTTTCTGTTTTGTGGCTATGTTTGTAGTTCTGCTCGCGATGAAGTACCACAGGGGATTCTTCTCTATCAGAGAAGCGCCTTTTGCAGAAAAGTTTTCTACTTCTTCTCTGATCATCTCTTGGTAGGGCCTAGCTTCTACCTGCTGCTGCAGATAGTCGTTAAAGTTGGTGTACTCGTATCTGTATATTGTCTGGTGGTGTGTTCTATACCTTTCTCTCCTTTTTGTGGTCAGTCTTGTTTCGTTCCATATCTTCATGCTGGGGCTATTCTCCAGGTTTTTCAGCTCCTTTTTCTTGCTCTTTTGCTCGGGTGGAGAAGTGGGTGTACCTACCTTTCTTTTTCTTCCCATAGACTGCACAGCCCGAGAAATGTCTTGTTCGCTAGACACCCTGCTTATGACAGTCTGTCCTTCTGTTCTCAGCTGCGCTCCAAAAGGCTTGCATCCGCTCTGGATTATATTACGTATCCATTGTTCGGCAAAGGATCGGGATATTTCATTTTTTCTTTCTTGCTGCCTAGGTGCACCAGATACATTGTATGCTGGGTTTGAAGAGCACCCGAGAATAGTGGGCTCTGGCACAGGCTGCAGCACCTGACTGTGCTGGGCTGGTATGCCACTCCTTGCACTCATTTCTTCTATGCATAGGTCTATACTGGTGGATGCCTCTTCGCTAAAGGCGTCTTTACTTCCTCTGCACCTTACGATAAAGAGAATCAGCGCTATGCCTACCGCATTCAGTATTTTCTTTTGTTCCTGATTTTTCATGCTGAAAATACCATTTTTTTATTTATAATTTTCAGTTGGGATTTCTCAGGCATTCTCAGGCTATATTCTCTGCAAAAATACCATTGCATACGCTCTGGCACTCTCTCAGTCCTTCTCTATTGTACACCTCATGGCATTAAATGGTAAGCCACACCGCAGTTCTCGGGTTATTATCTGTACATTTCAATCCTTGGATCATTATTAACAGGACATTGCAGCGATCACTGATGAGGCAAAAGTGAAGAATAAGAGGAAAAAGCTAAAAATATTGTTTATTCGCTGATATCATCTACTCTACACTGAATGATTGTACCGCGTAATTAAAACATCGAGAATCTCGTTGTTTGCTCCCATATTGGACCTGCTCTCGTTCACATTGCGGAACACCATAAACTGCATGCGCATATTTGGCCTTTTCGATATTTTTATGTATAGCTTTTGATATAGACCCATCATTCTTCTTCTTCTGTAGCTTTTTGAAACCGATATCTTCCTGTTTTCTATCTTTATATCTTTCGGAAGCTTGGAGCTGTCCGGGTTTTCTGAGCTGTTTCTTGACTGCTCATCTATCTCCTTCAGGTTTTCTTTTACCTTACTAATCTCTGTTCTGATTATATCTAGGCTCTGCCTATTCAGATATTTATTGCATTCTCTGTTGGGCAGCCACACATGCATTTCATTTGTCTGAACATCCACTTCATTGCTCTGATTTTCTGGCTTTCTATCTTGTGCCCTGCTCCTATCACAGAGCCACATACACTGCAAATCGCTGTCCTTGTTGTACTCTCTTGACTCTAGCACGTCAATAAAATCGTTGAATTTTTCTAAGTTTTCTTCTCCTTTGAAGGAATTGTCAAGTATGCAGTGCGTGTGCTCGTCCACGCTCTCCAGCACTCTCGCATACCACGCAGCCCTGACAGTGCCGTCTTCTTGTCTTTCAGTCTGGCACTCCATGGTGTAGCAGCTGATGCTTTTTCTCCCTTTCTCTTTTGGGAGTATGTATAGATTACTGTAGTACTTGTGTATATCTGAGAACTCGTCTTCCTCGTAATGTGTGTTATACTCGTACACATCGGGTTTTCTCTTTTCAAACTCTATCGAGTCTATCTCCGTGTGTTTATCTCTCTTAATAAAAGGGCCTAGCTTCACTGCATCTCGCACCAGGCGGCTAGTAAGGAACAGCGGGATGCAAATACTTTTTTTCTCGTGCGGATTTAAAGGGTTAAACTGCACAAATCTAAACGCTGTTTCTTTTGGGTCTTCATCAATGCGGTAGAACACCACCTCGTGTTCTTCCAAGTCTTTCATTGTCTGCGCTCTCTCACTTTTATTGATGTATGACCACTCTCTGGTTCCTTTTCTTACTTTGAACGGGTGCACACTGCCTGCCTCTGTTCCATACAGTGCCTTTATATGATCTACTATGTCGTTGATTGTGTGCAGATAGTATTTCTCTCCCCTGTCATCTTCATAAATGGGCATGCACAGTAGTCTGAGATCGTTTGTGGTATTGTCCAAGTAGTGCACATGGTAGTGCTCGCATATATCAGACGACACACTCCACTTGTTGTTCTCAAATGAGCGCTCAGTGCCCAGAACCCTCCTATCTACATTTTTTGATGCTATGTCCGACTTTATCTCGCACTTCACATACTTTTGGTTTTTTATCACGGCCTTCCCCGAGAGAACAGTCTTCTTGCTATCGAAAGGCTCTGCTTCTTCGTAGAAGTTCACAAGGAGTTTGTAAATGTCTGTGTATATATCAACAGCTGTCATTTTAGACAAGCCCTCTGCTCCGTACAGATCTTCAAAGTTGCTGTAGAGATCCGTGTGTATTTTATCCATGTCTGCGTCATCGTTTTTTATTTTTGTGGCCATCTCGCGCAGGAGCAGGAGAATGTTTCTCTTTTTTTTCTTGGTGCGCGGATCCCTTGAAATGTGCAGGCTATATATGGGGTCTTCGTGCAGTATGGAAAAATCTTGGTACACCTCAGGCAGCATCAGAATCATTCTTACGGCCTGCACTATCTCTCTGCAGCTTCTATCGATCTGGCTGATGTCTTTATACTCCTCCATCATGTAGTAGTTCGGCTCGGTGTCTCTGCGAATGTAAATATCCCCCAAGCTCTCCTTCCACTCTTCCAGAGGATTCTCTGTGCTGGTTATCACAGGCCGATGCTTGTTTGCGTACTTTATCATTTCATCAAACACTCCGGGGTAGTACCCCTCCAGACTTTCCAGCTTCTCCCTGTACTCATCGTCTCTCTTATCTTCCGTGTTTTCAAATATCTTCCGCAGCCCCAAAAGAGCTTTGTATTTGGTTTTTGTGAGTGCGGACTCGCATCCAATAAAGTACCACAGTTTGTTGTCCTTGGTCTTTGGAGCAATTAGTGTGCAAAAGTTTTTAATATAGCCTCTAAGTTTCCTTTTATAAGACAGGATGCTCGTATTATTCATTTCCCATGTATCAGAGATATTGACGCTGTATGTTGCCATCTGTTTTGCCTTGTTGCCCCTTCTTTTCCTGTTCCTCAATCTTTCATCGTTCCACAGGCTAATCTTGATTCTTTTCATCTCCTTTATCTCCTCCTTCTCTTGTTTCCTCTTGTCTCGCGGTGTTTGGCTGCCAACTTCTAGTAGCTCTTCATCGTCCACTGCGATATCAAGTTCCTCCTGCGATGCACTGTCCTTTTTTTTCTGTTTTTTATTTTTTGCCACTACAAACTGGTCAGCAAAAGATGAACCTGTAGGGTTGCTTATTTCAACCATTTTTCTTTTTTTTCCTGCCGACACGCTGGCATTACCAATCCCCTCCTCATCAGACACACTGCTGCTTCCTTGGCACACTGCCACAAGAAAAACAAGAATTAGTGCCCTGATAGCTAGTATTTTCCTTAATTTCTGATCTTTCATGCTAAAAAAAATCATTTTTCCATTTATAGCTCTGCCAGGCTCATTATGATACCTGCCTCTCCCAATAGACTATTTTCTGTACGCTGGCTGATGCAAGCGCATTCATCGTGCTAACAACCATAGAATGTAGATCAAGCTCTTGCACTAAACTGTTAAAGAATTTGCAATCCAGTACAGACCTAAGCGTGGCTGCATATAGCTTTGAATAAATGCCCTCAAGCTGCAGCAAGCAGTAGAAGCTCTTAGATATGTTCTGAGAGAGCATCTTTTTATATTTAATGACTTAATTGGATGCTTTTAAAAACCCTGTCAATGGGCTAGAGAATGATAATACCAATAGCCTGTGCATTGACAGCTATTAGCTTTAAATTATTTATACGATGCAAAATTTTCAGGATAGCTCAATGAAAAAAGTTAAGCTGAAAATAAATATAGATAAAGCTGCAGAAGCATGCGAGTCTGCTGATATTAGAGACTGTCTTGATGCAAACATTGCAGATAGCATTAAGCTAAGCTATTTTGCCGTACTAAAGTGCATACTTGACAATATCGAAATAGAAAGCAGCGCGTATACGGATGAAGAAAAAGAAAAGATTCTGGGCATAGTTAAGAATGGGATCTATCAGTACTTTATATACTATGGGTATGGATTGGCAGATATAAGCCATTTACACGACTGTCTGTTGGATACAGAGGATAACCCAACTAAGCCAAATGTTCTCTCTTTGGTCAGCAAAGCCATGGACGCAAATCCATTTATATATGACCCAAAGCACGGAATCTATAGAAACAGTAGGATAAATGAGAATACTAATGAAGAGCTGAGCACCAGAACATATACGCTGAAGATCAAAGATAGAAGCCCTCCTGTGAACTTAGAAGGCCTACTCAAGCTCACCTCAGAGAGCCTCGATAGAGACATCTTCTGCTATGTATCCAATTCAGTAAAGTCAATGGACATGAGCATTCTAAAAAAGTACTCGCCCACAGAGAAATACTACAGTCTCGATGACTTATACAAAAAAAAGTACAAGAGCAGCGAAGTTTCTTTGGTAGACCACGGGCTGAAGTTTATTCACGAGAACTATTACAAAATTGCCAAGCTAATTAGGCTATGCAAAGAAATAGAAGTCATTTCTAACAGGCCAGGGGTTGAAATAGAGAAAGAAATCAGCGAGCTGTTTGGTCTTGAGGACTTAAAAATAGTTGTCTCTATTGGCAACAACATAAAAGAAATCAACTATGAAAAAAGAATACACAACCACATGATTAAAGCTATAGAATACATGGCAGACCACACAAACCACTTGAAAAGAACGAGTGGATCTAACACTCTGAAGATAAAAAGAGATCTGAGTGATTTTTGCCAAAAGTATGTAGATAATATGATGCTGAAAAGGAAAGTGCTTAAAAAGAGAGACAAGCTAGGCAGTGCATTCGACAGGAAGGCCAGAGCGCTCGGTAAGGCGCATGACGAATACAACAGAAAATCTTTGTACATACGAGAATATTTAAAAAGACTGGAGTGCTATAAGAATATTGTAAATCTGTCTGAGAAACGCGAAATTAAAAAGCTACAAAACCACAAAAACTCAATAGAATGGCAGCTAGAGAGAGAAAGCTTGCAGTCCGATAGCATCCGCGAGCTTCAAAATAGCCTCCAGTTTTTGCCCAAAACAAGCCCAGTCCAGCAAGAATACATGTTCAAAAAAATAAAAGAGCTTGGAAAAGAACGGAGCATAGAAGTGATAGAAGA